TTGCATGGCATACCAGGTGAGAGGAGGAGTGAACCTGTGACTGGTCAGGTTCAGACTGTTGCAGTAGCAGTGGACCTTGCCAGAGAAGCTGCGCTCAATATTACAGCTGAAGGCTTCTCCGAGACCACCAACGAAGACATCCTGGAGGTGATCAAAGATCCTGAAGTGACTGCCGACGAGATGTTGGAAAAAGAACACGCCAGTGAAGAGGAGGAGGAAGGTGCGTCATTCTCCGAAGAACCTAGTTTAAGTCATAGTGATATTAAGTGTGCCATAGAGTTTGCAGAAAAAATTAAGTCCGTCCTTTCCCGCGACAATGACGATGAACGCTATGAAGTCTTCCATACCCGACTGGTGCAGGCTATGGAGCCGTACATCAAGGTGTATCACGACAACATCAACACCAGCCGTCAGCAAAGCATAACCGAGTTTTTCGCCCGCAACCCACCACAGCCAGCCCAAGCCAGTGATAGTGAAAGTGAAGTTGACTTTGAGGGATTTGTCAGGGAAGCCCTGACAACTGTAAGTGACAGTGATGTTGATTCACCTAGTAATGGTGATTCACCTGAGGGCCAGTAATCTGCCCTCTGCCTCGGAACCAGCCTCCATCCCCGTATGCCGACCCATCTCTTCTACTACCGTAAGTGTTCCACCTAACTTTTAGTTTCTCTTAGGTAACCTTCATTTTTCCTATGTTAACCTTTATCTTTCCTAACCTAACCTCTTCTATATTACTTGTTTTTTCATACCATCATAAAGTTAAGATAGAATTTTTACTACAACATAGTTATGTGTCGTCAAAAAGTGGAGTTTGGGGGTCGGGCTGGGTTCTATTGGAATTAATCCCATATGTTCTGTTGTTCACTTAACGCGGATTTCACTTAACGCGGGACCCTCTGGGTTCAATTGACCGCGTTAAGTGGGGTACAACTGTATAGAAGGTGTTAACTAAGAAGACAATTCCAAAAAAAAAGAATCTTTACTGCAAAAATTTTTTCTTGCATTATCAGCTAAGAGAGGAATGTATGATATTCTCTGAAACACTTCAATTCAGAAACAAATTCAGACTTTATTTCAAGAAATAAAGTATAAAGGTAAGCACCTATTTGGTACATCCTTTTTCTCTTCTATGATACAGTGGCTACAATCAAGAACATATACACACACACACTGTTCGTTTTTGTCACTCATCCTCTAAACCGCTAAGACACATGCATTGTGCGATATTGTTCCCTTCCACAACAATGCTCAAAGACATCCTTCTACATTTTCCCTGTCACTTTACACAATCTAGCATCCTCAAACCACAGAGTCCATTCTCAAAAAGTACTTGATGCCATACTGTCTAGTCAGGCTCAAGATGATTATAAACTAACCTAAGGTATCATATTGTTTCACACAGAGTAAGCACAGATACTTCTTTTAGCTACTGTACCTATAGTTTTTTATTTTCCTTTTTTATGATGGTTTTTCAATAATCATAATCTATGGTTTAAACATATGGGAGATTATGGCCGGAATCAACATTTCAAAGAGGTCATGGTCATCAGTGCCCAACCATAAAAATTCTGGACATATTAATCAAATTTCATAAATGAGATTGACAATATCAATACTTTGTTATAAATGGTGTAATTGATAAAGCATTACTAACCAAAGCCAAAGAAGTTCAGACAGGACAGTTCCTACTAAGCCATTAACAGACATGTAGAACAGGTGTTGCAGATTTGGCAACTAAAATGTCTCCCATCCAAAAACATCCAACAGGGGGAACCCGGGCCACAGAATGATGGTATTGAAAAAGCCCACAAATCCTGGAGAAAAAAAAATATTAATAAGAAAACAAATTAAAAAGACCAATACATTCAACCTATCTATCTACAGTACCTACACCAACTGTGCCACAAATTTTGTTTTATTTCAAGAAGTTAAAATCATTACACTTTAATAATTCACACCCGAACAACTGAAGGCAATAAATTTGTACAGAATAAAGCAAAATTATCTCTCCCTGAAAAATAAGAATCCTCTCTTTGTGTTAGTGTTGTGTTCTGACAGTTTAACGGTGTGAATTCCCATGAAGAAGTAAATACAATGCCTGCCAAGTAACTGAAGTATGGCATATGAATACGATGTGACAGTTAGAAATTCAATGACAACACAATTGTATTAGCTTATGACTACCTGGTAAATGTAATAGGAGAGTGGTTAAGTTATCATTTCATATTACTGTACAGCTATATTGCTAAAGTATTACCTTCAAGAACTATAAAAACATTGACCAGATCATGATGGATCAGGGAGTTGATCATTCTTTGAACTGGGTCGACTCCTCTGATTTGCCCTTTGAGGAGATGCTGATATTACATAATGATGTCTTCTAGTCCATTTCAAACCATTATTGTCCAGAGGTGGCAAAGAAAATTACAGTACGAGATGACTCTCGTTGGAATGACTCCTCTATAAGTTCACTTTGTATGGATCGTAGAAGTGCTGAATGAGAGAAGCACAGGCAGTGAACAGACCGTACTAGATCAGAGTACATAATATGACTGTGCGTACGGCTGTTGTTTGTTCAGTGTGGGCACACAACGCTGAATATTGTATACTACAGAAGTCAAGTGGCCTCATGTGGCAGTGACCAGAAAAAAATATATACAGTTATGAATGGGCTGTTGGGCCAAAGGTCTGGAATTACTATGCTTTGTTCCACTTCAAATGGTCAGCTTGCCTCAGATGTTTCCTAAGGTTTTTATGACAAAGATATCATGTGACCTTGATTGTGTTTCTTTAGATGAGAAATTTTCAGTTATTTTCAACCAAGTTACACAATAGAACTCACTCTTTCATCATTTTGTCTTACAGAGGTGAACAACATTCTGCACTATATCAAGGATTTGAAGAAGACTTTGTTGTCGTGATCTTACAAATGTATTTAAGGTATCACTCTCTTATGAACATACTGCAGACTTTATTTGTAGAATCATATATATGTGATTGTCAGAGGGTAATTTTGTGTGATCTGAAAAACAGGCTTTATTACATCCACTTCTGGTCTTGATACTGAAAATATGTAAAATTATAGTCATCCAGTCTCGAGTCTCATTTTCATCAGAGATCATACTATGCTGGATTAGTTACTTTCTCTGTTAGAGAGAAGCAAGTGATCCATCTGGTCCAGTCAGCCTATAGGTTGCATCATTCAACTGAAACTGCCTATGTTGAATTCATAATGATTTGGTCATAAACACTTGCACAGAAAAGTCCTCCCTCCTGGCCCTACTGGATCTCTCTGCAGCATTTGCAGCATGGCTTCAGGATCTTTGGTCATTCAGTGTCCATGATGATGCATTCTCACTGTTTGAGTCTTATCTGTCAGAGTGATCTCAATGTGTGATAGTTGGTGGAACCGTTTCAGACCCAGTCCCTTTGCAGTTTGTCGTCTCACAGGGATCAGTTTTGGGACCACTTCTGTTTACAGTCCATACCAGTAGTTTTGTAATTTTGCTGGATGTTCATGGTGTTGCCTTACTATTTCCATGCCAATGATACACAGCTTTATGTCCAAATGATAAATGTCAAGGATATTGAGAGATATTGAAATTCTTGATGTCTGATATTAAAAAATGGATGGCTAGACAAAAACCTAAGATGAATGATGGCAACACCGAGATTATCGTCATCCAAGGAAATAGGAGGGGTTACAGCACAGATGATTTTGGCTCTTTAAACTTTGGAGAAGTACAACTCAATCCTGTCAATTCTGCTCATAATCTTGGAATGTATACTTTGACTCAAAACTGAATTTTAGAGTCTATCTCGATTAACCCTTTAGAGGGCAGCCCCACACTTAGGTACTTTATTCATTTTATTTTTACTTTTATCCTCTTTGCTACTGATTGGCTCATTAGCAGCTTGGGCAGTCGGTCACATCTCTGTTATGTACTGTTGGCGAATACTGGGCATGCACTGACTCCTGAGTATATCGGAACCTGCTCCAATGTTGGTCAAATCTGGTTTCAAATGAGCTCACACTCAGTGCCGTCACAACACTCTCGGGTAGATTGTTCCTCGAATTCACAATTCTCACTCCAAACATGTTTGCCCTCACAGTTTTATGGACTTGTGGCTTCTTCAACCTTGAGCTGTGACCCCTTGTGAGGCGGACGTCCGCCAGCTCCAGGTATGTACATTAGACCAAGCAGTGCCCCCTGAGGTGTTTATACACATCGATTAGGTCGCCTCTCGCCCGTCTGTAGTATAAGCTAGGTAGTTGCAGGCGTTCTAATCTCTCTAAGTATTTGAGGTTCTGTAGAGCAGGCCCCAGTCTGGTAGCCCTCCTTTGGACATTTTCAATCAATTGACAGTCTCTAGTATACCTTGGGGAAGCATCTGCTAATGCCAGAAGAATTCATTCAGCTAAAAGGTTAAAGAGCATAGAAACTCAGTTGCAACTTTCATATTCAAAATCTATCGGCTGTGAAACAGTTTTTAGATAGACAGTGTCTTGTGGCACTTATATTCACTTATTTTGTCTTGGGTTGACTATTTTAACTCTTTATGGGTTTGCCTACCTAATTATCTAGTGAAAAAAGTTCAGGGTGGTGAAAAAGGATGCCAGGCTTACATGTGCTCTCCTACTGAGGACTTCCACTACCCTATTCTTAATCGAATTGCACTGGCTTCCAATTAAAGAAAGAAAAAAGTTCAAACTCTGCCTAATGACTTTTAAGGCACTTATGTTTGATGAGCCTAAGTAATTGTCCAACCTACTAAATCCTCTGACCTAGAGCATTGTGGAAATGCTCTTTTGTGGCCCAATCCTTTTCCTATATCGCACCCAGATTGTACAATCATTTGCCTGCATCCATGAAGCAGCTGACTTCTGTGGAGGCTTTTAAGAAACAACTTAAGACCTTTCTTTTATTTTGAAAGCACATGATCCTGAAAAGAGCTTTGGAAGTGATACAACTTAAGGATTAATGAACTGTCACTTCTTGTGATTTTTGTTATATTTTTATTTTTATTTTTTTATTCTCAGAACTTTGACTTGTGAAATTTTGAGCGCTAGTGAATTACTTGGAAGAATTGGAGCTTTTGTTTCTCAAAAGTGCCAGCTTTTATTATTATTAAAACAATATCTGATTGATCAATAAATCTCCCAGAGCTAACTGGGTACTAAGGGCATGGAATGGGGGGAGGGGAGGGAAGAGTGCAAAGAAGAGGAGAGAGAGATGATAGAAGGGAAAGGAGAGGAAATTAATTCACTTACCAAAGAACATAGTAAAATCCATACGATCTTCAGTTGGAACCTTGTGCTTCAGGAAGACCATGTAACAGGCATAAAGAATAGCTCCAGCTATTGACCATACCACACCAACAGGCACAACTGAACTTTCAAGGTTGAGGTCTTCCAAACTAACTAAAACCTGAAAAGTAATTGGCAAGACATATATCCAAAATATCTTAAAAATATATGTTGGGTATATTCAAAGTTTTAAACTGTTTTTTTCTTGGATAAACACTGTCATCAATCACAAAACAGTAATGAGGTCTCCTAGCTTTCAAACATGTATCATTATCACATGTACACTTTCCAGAACATGTAGTGTATCTCGAAAACTAGATACATTACAATACTGTACAGGGATCCCCGACTAACGAACGTCCAACTTACGAACGCCTGCAGATATGAATGGGGTTAAATGTGAAATTTACAGTATCTCTTTAATTTACCTGTAAGCCCCCCAGAAGATGCTTTAAATCTGACCAATATCATGTACATTTTGAGGCTATGTGCACTTGATATTAGGAGATATTCTAAAATCAATAGTAAATACTTTTTACAATACAAAAATGCCTGAGTACAATACTGCATTAAAGAAAAAGTACAGTAGTACCCCGCTTAACGCGGTCAATTGAACCCACAGGGTACCGCGTTAAGTGAAAACCACGTTAAGTGAACAACAAAACATATGGGATTAATTCCAATAGAGACTGGCCCGACCCCCAAACTCCACTTTTTGACGACACACAACTATGTTGTAGTAAAAATTTTATCTTAACTTTATGATGGTATGCACACACAATTAATAATTAAGAGAAATATCAATAATATTAGGTTTTTTAACACTTGCATTAGTAGAAAAGATGGCTGGGCACACGGGGATGGGGGGTTGGTTCCGAGGCAGAGGGCAGATTATTGGCCCTCACCTGTATCACTTGTATCAATTGTATCACTATCCACCACAGAGGCTTGCAGGGCCTCTTTGTCAAACCCCTCAAAGGTCATATAAGTCCATATCCTCACTATAATTATCACTATCACTGACTTGGGCCGGCTGTGGCGGGTGAAGAACTCTGTAATGTTTTGATGACTGGGCGACCTTGTGCGCATCGTGCCCGCGCCGCTTCCCGCGTATATGATGAAAAATTCCGCGTTAAGTGAAAGTTCAGCTCTGGCGAGGCACCGCGTATATGATAAAACGCGTTAAGTGAAACCGCGTTAGGCGGGGTAATACTGTATTGGAATTTTCTGTTGAAAAGGGAACCCCCGCCCTGGATCCACCCTTGTGGTTATTTGCACATACAGGTACAAAATATTTAAAGTCAACAACATCCTGCAGTCTCCCATGCACACCACTGCACCTCTTGTGTACCCACCTTCCACACTCACTGCACATTACTGACGCTACCAACACCATTCTTACAGACAACACATAGCCATTAGCAATTTTGGATAGTGCAAACTTTGAGGATGGAAATTTCTGAAAAATAGTTGAATTATGATATATTATGAACTATGGAAGTTTTGGTGGATAAATATCACAAAGATGAAGCATAAAATTTTATATGCTAAAATCTGGGCCTTTGGCTGGTTATGTGCTACAGTCTTAAAAAAGTAAAATAATATAATATACCTGTAATAATATAAAAATGGACAGTACTGTACATTACATCTAATACAATATTTGACTACTTACCACACCTGCAACCATAAGAAGAACTGAGGCCAATTTGGAGAGAGTAAACTTGTCTGTTAAGGATGATGGAAATATGGCAGCAAGAATCACAGGTAAACAATCCAGATGTTGATGAAATAATATTGACAACACCAGCTTCTGTGTTGCTAAGTGCTATTTGGTAGCTGTAATTGCCTGCAAACCACTGAAAAAAAGATAAATCTAGATTAGGAAGAAACCTCAAAGACTCAAACTATCTAAAACTATGAAATCCTATTGGTATGGCCAAAGGTTGCGTGAAATTCTAGCATACTGAACACCCCATGATAGCTGCCAGACATAATAAGAGTAAATTTATTCAGTGGCAGGAAGCATAATTCATATCAACAATGCAATTTCTGTAAGACAGTCCTTCACCCAATCACACCAGGAGTGATCTGAACAATATATGGTCCAGCTAAACCATGAAATTTTAAGGTAGCCAGCCAGCAGTAAGGAGATAAAAAGTTGAACTCACAACAATCCCAACAATCTCATCAATCAGCAATAATGATAAGTACGGTTCTCCTAGCCCCTGAGTCTTAGCTTATTCATAGCCAAACACTTGGGAAACAGAGGGAAATCTATAGTTTGTTCGCTCGAACTTTGCAACTGAGGCTGAAGGTCAGTTTGTTACGAGATAACTGATTGGCTGGTAGACGAACATACGAAGAATCACTACAGTTCTTCAGTACAGTCAATCCTCACATTACGCGGTCCCGCATTCCGCGTTTCACCGTCAACGCGGTGCCTTGCCAGAACCTAACATGCTCACATTCCGCGGTCGTGAACGCCATTACGCGGAGTGTGTCCGGCGCGACGCTATTTTTAGATTTGCCCCACGCGCCACCCACCCGCCCGCCTGCCTGCCTCTCCCTCCTCCTCCCTCCGCTTGGGCAAGCGGCGCGGTAAGGTTGCGCAGTGTGTGTCTTTGTTGCGTTATCACTGACGTCATATGACGTATCAGACCTGTGATTGGCCATGCATCCCTACCCCCCTCTGCTGCTAGCTGTAATTGGCTTAAAGTATTATGACGTGTCCACCCGGGGGAGGGAGGGAGGAGAGACGACGCTTGACCTAGCCGCGGCAGTTTCATCCCTCCAGGCCACTCCGTGTAAACGCGCATCCATTGTTCCGTAAAATGGCTTCCGCCGGACCACCACCCCCAGAGAGAAACCTTTCCTTACCTGGACCCAGCGGCACTAAACCAAAGAAGACACGACGTTCCTTAAGCTACGAGGTGAAGTATAGCATCATCCAAGAGTTGGAGAAAGGAACAAGGCAGGTTGATTTGGCGCGCCAGCATGGCGTGAACAAATCTACGATCCGGACTATAAAGAAGGATTCAGCCAAGATAAAGGAGCACATGAAGATCACAAAGTCTACAGGTGCTTCTATGATCAAGTATTTTCACAACCAGGTGCTTCTCAAGACAGAAAAATTACTTGTGAGGTACTTGGTGCGTCAGGCGCGACGGAACATGGCGGTCGACACGCGCTCTGTGAAGGACTACGCACGTGAACTGTACATGGCAGTGGCACGAAAGATGGGAACTTCAGAGCCCAAACCCTTTACTGCTTCCTCTGGGTGGTTACAGAGGTTTAAGATCCGGAACAAGATCACCAATATAAACATTGGTGGTGAAGAAGCGAGTGCTGATCGTGCTGCGGCTCGGGAATTTCCTCAGTTTTTACGTGAGATTATGGAGGAAGGACAGTACAGTGACGACCAGGTGTTTAACATGGACGAATCTGGTCTTTTCTGGAAAAAACTACCTTCCAAGTCCTACGTTGTGAAGAATGCCAGCAGGATTCGGGGCCGGAAAATGCAGAAGGAACGCATCACCGTCCTGTTTACCACCAATGCCTCCTGTACCTGTAAGCTCAAGTTATCGGTGATCCACACAGCCCGCAAGCCGCACGCCTACAAGAGCATGGACATGACCAAGCTAAATGTCCACTGGCTGACAGCACGTAAGGCATGGATGTTCTCTACACTGTCCCTCTCCAGGTTTGATGACTGTTTTGTTCCCGATGTAAAGAAATTCTGTGAGCAACAGAATGTCCCATTTAATATTTTGTTGCTGCTGGACAACGCACCAGGACACTCGCCCCTACTGTTAGATCGTCACCCCAACGTAAAAGTGGTCTTCCTTCCTCCCAACACTACGTCTTTAATCCAGCCCATGGACCAGGAGTTGATTTGCAATGTGAAAGCTGCATTCTCAACAAAAAAATTCCAGCTCCTGAACGACTACACCAACACCAGGGAAGAGTTGCGTGACCTGAGTGACACCACCACCGATAGCAAGAGCGACGAAGATGAGGAACAACGGTTAGAACAGCAAAAAATACTCTTCAAACAATTCTGGAGAGTATTTAACATCAAGAAAGCTGTGGACATCTTGGTGGAGTCATGGGATCAGCTGTCTATTGCTACAATTCGTCACGCATGGAGACATGTGTTGCATGGAATACCAGGTGAGAGGAGGAGTCAATCTGTGACTGGTGAGGTTCAGACTGTTGCAGTAGCAGTGGACCTTGCCAGAGAAGCTGCGCAGACTGTTACAGTTCCAGGCTTCTCCGAGACCACCAACGACGACATCCTGGAGGTGATCAGAAATCCTGAAGTGACTGCCGACGAGATGTTGGAAGAAGAACACGTCAGTGAAGAGGAGGAAGAAGGTGCGGCAGTCTCCGAAGAACACAATTTAAGTCATAGTGATATTAAGGGTGCCATGGAGTGTGCAGAGAAGATGAAGTCCTTCCTTTCCCGCGACAATGACGATGACCGCTATGAAGTCTTCCATAACCGGCTGGTGCAGGCTATGGAGCCGTACATCAAGGTGTATCACGACAACATCAACGCCAGCCGTCAGCAAAGCATAACAGATTTCTTCACCCGCAACCCACCACAGCCAGCCCAAGCCAGTGATAGTGACAGTGAAGTTGACTTTGAGGGATTTGTCAGGGAAGCCCTGACAACTGTAAGTGACAGTGATGATGATTCACCTAGTAATGGTGATTCACCTGAGGGCCAGTAATCTGCCCTCTGCCTCGGAACCAGCCTCCATCCCCGTATGCCGACCCATCTCTTCTACTACCGTAAGTGTTCCACATAATTTTTAGTTTTCTAACCTTACCTTTATTTTTCCTATGTTAACCTTTATCTTTCCTAACCTAACCTCTTCTATATTACTTGTTTTTTCATACCATCATAAAGTTAAGATAAAATTTTTACTGCAACATAGTTATGTGTCGTCAAAAAGTCGAGTTTGGGGATCGGCCTGGACTCCATTTCAATTAATCCCATATGTTATGTTGTTCACTTTACGCGTTCCTCACTTTCCGCGGTACCCTCCGGGTTACATTAACCGCGTAATGTGAGACCCAACTGTATTTAATTAATCATATATATATTCTGATACTTTAAAGAAATTAACTTTACTGTGTTGATCTCTGGTAATTTCTGCACTTGGGGGAAATAAACATTAGCATGATAGGGCAAACATATTAACTCAAGAAGATGTGGAAACGTCCTATCTGAGGAGACTAGGACTCTCTGGCATCCAATAAATCGGAATTTGCAATAAGTTGGTATGGCACATGATAACCATTACATTTTGGAGTAGTCGGCAAATTGGCGCTAAGTTAGCAGGAGCCAAGTTATGTGCAAGAACTCAAAAGCTGGCCCATGCTTAGTAGCCCATGTCGGCCCCATGATCATCAGTTTACATGCGCCTCGTGTCACTGGTAGACCTTCTGACAGTGATTAAGCGCCCATGAAACGTTACCGTACAGATAGTGTTAAGTGTCATGTATAAAGTGTAATCTTTTGCTTGTCAGCACAATTATTTACTGTGACTGTGAAATAATACTTGCCGGCAAATTCTGATTAATTGGCAAGGCCTCGGTCCCATATGTGCTGAGTTATGGGGGGTTTACTTGACTCCCAATATTGTGAGAGCAACTTGGCAAGGATTTAATAATAATTAATATCTCTCACTTTCACACACACACACAGAATGAAGGAGATTTAATATAAAAAGCCAAGTGAATATCCGAGATAAAATCAACATCTATACTTACCAATAAACAAAATATACTAGATATTTTCATAACTTCCTTAACAGATAATTTATTTGCTGCCTGCATAGCCAGTTGTTCAGCACGGACAGAGGCAGAAAAAGACAGGCGAGACATCATGGCATCAACTGCCTCGTTTTCTGACATTTGCCGAACCTAAAATAATGAAAATTTTTATAAATCAATATCCTATAAGAGACAAAGAAACAATATAAGAAATCCAATTTTATGATTTAGGGGAGGAGATAAAAGATTTTTGGGATTATCCACAAATAAAACACTGGTAAAGATAGAAGAGATTGATTGATTGATTGATTGTGGTAATTACATCCCTGGCAATGCAACAGCCGAATTAAACTAAAAGCTTAGAAGGCTAAAAACAAATAATGAAAGCCAAAAAACATAAATAAAAATAGTTTAGATTTTTCATAAAACCATTTAAACATTCGATAAAACTCAACGCTTTTGTAAAATGGCAGCTTCCTCTACAAAGGAGAGGATGTCCCCTCCCATGCTGCCCCCCCCCTCCTCCCAGCACCAAAGAAATGGTAAGGCCCGTCTCCCCCCTGGGACTCGGAGAGGTGCCCACGACAAAGATCTGTAAGACTGGGGGCACTCCACCAGGTGTCGAACAGTCAATGGGACCATGCAGTCATCAAAATGGGGAGGGGGCACCCTCTCCATTAAAAAAAAAACATGTGTCAGCTGCGTGTGGCCAATGCGGAGGTGGACCAAAATAGTCTTCTAGCGGCGTTACAGTCCCTGATATCCCCAGGCACCCAAAGCAGGATGAATGTTGCAGAGCTTGTTTGCTCCAACAGCATCCCACCTGCATTGCTAACTTGAGTGGATGTCAGCTCTTATTACTGGCTTCATATCAGAAGCAGGTAGATGTTAATGATGTGCCACAGAGTGAGGAGCAGCTGTTTTTGCCACAGCAAACAATGAAATTCTGGCCCAGATGTTGAAAGAGAAACAGCCACTCTAAAATAACTATAACCAAGGGATGAGGCAATGAGATACTTGCAAAGGCCTGGAGAGCACTGTGAGAATTGCTAAATATTGTAAAATCACAATGAGGTCGGGTAAAAATAATCTTGAGGGCAAGTAAAATACCTGAAAGCTCTTCTGTAAAACAGCTGCCGTAGCAGGTAGACTACTGTCACGGCAGAAGTTGGAAAGACTACCGGTACCCAAAAACCCACACCTACATCTGACGTTGAGTCCTCGGTGTAAACAGGGATAGTCCCTCTGTGAGACGAGGCATGCTCTAAAAAAAAAGAGAATGAACCACACAAGGAAGGAACAAGTCCTTCCTTATTTTAAAATACTGACAAACTTGAACTTCAGGGAGAATCCACAGGGCAGCTCTAGGGAACTGCTTGGGGCATATCTGAATAGGAGAAAGACAAAGAAGACTCGCAACCTCCCTTATCCTGAAGTCAAAAGGTCGCGCGAGGCTTGGATGTTAAGTGTAGGGTGGGGACATATTCTCGTCAGCTACACAAGTGTTGGTTACAGATTGCAGAAGGCAACTGAGGCAAAACCAACACTGGACCTGGAGATATTGGCATCGAAGATCATCGGGTGGCTCATCAGCAACAACCAGTAGACTTGGAATTAGCTAGAACCTGAAAGCACCAGTCACACCCCAGCATGATGAATAGAGTTCAGTGTAGTGAGTCTAACCTCAGTGGCTGAGGAGCACACCTCACACCCATAATCCAGTTTGGGTCTAACTAGTACTATGTGGTAAAGGTGTAGCAGAATTCGTCGGTCAGCACCTCAAGAAGTGTGCCCCAAGATTTTCAATAACTTGAGAGCATACTAAAGACTCTTTCAGGTAATAAACATGTGGCTGCTATAGAAGCTGGTTGTTAAGATAATGCCCAGTAAATGGGTCTCTGTGACACAGCACAGGCAACCATAGAGCTGTAGATTGGAATTGAGGTGAACACCTTGGCGGCAGCAGCAGAAATGCATGGTAACAGTCTTCAAGGGAGAAAATTTGAAACCATGCTCTGTGGTCCAATGAAAAGCCTTATCTAGTGCAAGTTGCATGTGACGTTCAGCCACTAACTTGCGGGAAGCTGCATACCAAGTGGCCAAGTTGTCTACATACAATGAGAAGCTGTTACCCCATTTATTGCAATGGTCCTGAATATGTGGTGCTGACATTTCTGTGGCAATGTGGACCCTAAAAGTCCAACAGCCCAAGAACTGACCTATTATTGATGGTAAATTTCCCTGCAAGCCAAAATTTTGAAGGTCCTTAAAGATGCCGAATCTCCAAGCTGTGTCATATGCTTTCTCTAGGTCGAATAAAATACAGATGAGATGTTGGTAATGAGCAAAGGACTCACAGACCGAGGACTCAATACAAACAAGAGCATCTGTTGTTGCAGCATCATCCGGAAGCCAGATTAATATGGTGAAAGAAGGGCATTCTTCCCCAGGTAGTATACTAATCGAGACTTGACCATCTTTTCAAACAGCTTGCAGATACAGGAGATAAGAACTATGGGGCAATATTCTCGAGGGCAAAGAGCCTCTTTTCAAGTCTTCTTGAAAGGCAAGACAGTAGCCTCCCACCATGAGAATGGGGTTGCGAATAGCGAAGTAGTATTCTTTTACCAATAAAAAATTCCAGGAATGTTGAATTTTCCGGGTTTGAGAAATTTGTATCATTACCGGGAAATCTCTCATTCCCGGAAGAGCTCTGCATCAATTATTCAAGTTAGTGGGGAGCTGAATTATATCAACTGTAGCTATACTACCACAAAGAATCTCAAGGGAAAATATAGTTTCTATTATTAGTATAAAAAAATAAGTAAAATAAAATCTAATCATGATTTTTTCACTCTGATTTAAATCATATTAACTCTGTCTTGAACTACAGAAATTCCAAAACTAAGCCCTGGACATAAAGAATTTGTTGAAGATCTTCACTTTCAGTAATTACATTCCCAACAATCTAGACTTACCTTTAAATTTAAATAGTTACTGGTATTCTCTTAAAAGAAGCATCACTACATACCTCTGTCAATTTGCTGAAGCGGACGGACTTTACTGAAGAGTCATCAGATTCTCCATCAGAACTTTTTTCTTGCAATTCTTGTAGTTTCAGAGGAACATACTTTGGTTCACTCTGAAAATAAAAGAGAGGGCTTGGTGAGTGGTGTTAGGGCTCTGAACATTTTGAAATAATAATGAAACTACAATACAATTATGTCCCTCTGAAAATATCATAACTTCTTCATACAGCAATGGCCAACTCAAGACTAAATTATTTATGTTAACCTCGACTATACTGTGGTCATACCTTGTTATCCATTAAAAAGAACTGACACGCTTCATATGAGAACACTTTGGGGAGGGGAGGGGGGCAATACAAAAAAATCCAGGGATTTATGGTCCTTTTAACTAATCAGTTTCCTTTCATAGTGGTTCTCCAATGATCAGGTTTAGCTAACACGAAGCTGTGGCCTCTTGAGAGTACAGTAATTGGTACAATATTGCATTTCAAAATTTTTGAGAAGTGAATGTTTTAGTATTTATGCAGTAGCTAGTAAACCTCAATCCTATGTCCAATTTCCCTCTGTCTTGTAATGTCTATGGGCCCAAGGATTTGCATCTGTCCTCATATGACAAATGCCCTGTATGCTAACTCTGGGACTAGATTTATTGCTACATGCTGCATTTTGGGGGGAGTAATTCATTATATTTGGCTAGAAAAAGTGACCAGTATTAAACTCATAGTCAATGATAGGTCTGACTCGTGTCAAATAAAGTGGTACAAATATATCCTTATTTATAAAGGTAAAGATACTCTGTATTAGCCAAGTCTACCATTGGCTTTAGCTGCAACAGTGGAAAGCAGGTTTTTTCAATAATTACAATCGAAAGGTTGAGTACATTTTCACTTGTGTACAAAGAAATGTATGTGTTTGCCCTCAGGACAATTTTTTTTTACCTGTATTGCATATATATATGTGTGTGTCTACACACATACACAATACAGGTAAAGTAAATTACTGTCTCTAGAACGAATGCTCCTTGTCCCAGCAGTGAAAATGACGGCAACTTTAAAAATACCCGCAGACATTCTTGGGTACATCCAGGGTGTCATCATGCGAATAATAGAGGACTGCGAAATAAAAATTAACGAATTATTCGGGCGTACTGTACATTCAATATAAAAAATTTTCCCAAATCATCTGTGCACTTGTGCTCTTCACATTTCTTTTTCATCACTCATAATGCACAGCAGATTATAATCAGTTATGCTACCATTATAATGTTTCCTAACAAATGCAAAAGTGATGGTACTGAATCAACACTTAAACTCTGTGACCATGGTGTAGGAACCACAAAAATTATGGCTTTGAAAAAATGTGATAAATTATTAAGTGTTCAATATTTCAGCCCCAAGTTAACCCCTTCACTATGGGGATGCCACTCTTTTAATGTTTTATTTGGTTAATGCCAAATAATTTGATTCAGCAGAGAGCCCCTAAACACAAGGGGTTTATTAGCACACTACAGTATACACTGTACAGTACGAATATAGGTAAAAAAAGACAGAATAATACCGTTTCATTTTTTTTTCAGTGATAAACTATGTTTCATTGAAATTAAAACAGTATTTAGTAAGTAAAATACAGATACAAAGGCCAAACCAGCCTAGTGAGTGCCAGGGCACTCTTGGAGGCACCTGAAAATACTGCACATTTATCTCAAGGCACTCACAGTTGACCCTTAATTTACACAGTACATACAGTACTATAGTTATACAAGGTATTCTTCAAAAACACTGAACAAACAGAAGCCATGTAAAAATGAACAACGAGCCAAAGTCTTGAGGCTTTTTTCAGGTATCCCCAGGTGCTTAGGTCTGTCTCAAACAATGATGCAGATTTTTGCTCAACACCTTTGAAGACCACAAATTTATTTATTCATTGTCAGGTCTGTTCGGAGAGATCAGTCAGTTGGTTTATCAGGGCTAGGGTAGTGAGAGTTACCTCACTTCAGCGAAAGGTTGACCGTAATACTGTATGATGTATGATAAACAATGAAATTGATTCATATCATATCAGTTCAGCAAGGCAGTCAACCAGGTGTATCTTTCGTGTGTTTGTGTGTGTGCATCTGTATGCCATGACATCACACCAAGGGGAGGGAGCACGGTCTGGGTGACAAGCCACTGACTCGGTTAAAGCCTCCTGCCTACCGAATCCATACAAACATTCACTTCCCACACATACACACCCATGCTCTTAAGTTTTCTTATTTTATAGCTTTATACTATTTATTTTTATTTTTTTCAAAGCCACATTAGAGTGGCGAGTCAGCAACATAGCTACAGCCCACTGCCTCCCAAGTTCGTTCGTTCATTCTCTCTATCTCTCTCCCACTCACACACACACTTCGCTTTTCTTAGTTTATAGTTTATTGCATATTAATTATTTCTAGGCCACCTTAGAGTATTATAATGATTTTTCCTCAACTTTTATAGCATTACTGTTGTCTTTTATTGTCGTTATGAAAAAGTGCCAGAATTAAGGTAGAGGGGCTCCATAAATGGTTGTAGAACACATCCCCATAAGATTAAGAATTCACTTTGTGATTTCAAGTCAGGCGAAGTTTTTGCAGAATGTAATCCTCGCATGAAGCAAGGGTCAGAGGAATTATGCTTACAAACATACAAAAACACCCGGAAAACACTGAACAGTTGATCAACTGTCATTTCTAAATATCTAATATCAGTCTGGCAGCCATTATCTTGGCATAAAAAAATTAAATTGTCTCTGACTCAGTGTCTGGGTCTTAACCACTTTGGCCTCAGCTCTAACTGGGCCCATATGCTGAATTAGCACTAATGACTTGGTTAAATACTACAGGTATCGTAATTCAAGTGGATTAACAATAATCTCCACTGTTCATGTTATGCCAAGCACCAAGAGGTTGAGAATACTGTTATACAGATCTCTCTCAAATGTAAATTTTTATGACAAAACCATCTCAAACAAAAAGAAAAAATCAAAGTTTTTATCCATTTTATGTAAAGTACACACAACAATATAATAGACTGGAGCGGACCTTTTCAGTTCCGAATTTCCCCTTCATTAGATATCCTAAAAATGTCATTCCTTACAGTAATATACCTTTAACTTATACTTTCTTATTATCAAAACTGTTAAACACACATTCAACAAATATAATTCTATCTTCAGTACAACTTCCCTCTCACAGAACATTACAACAATGGTGAATTTCTTTCACACATTATTATTTTCAACAAAATCTATAACTAAAAATTTTATTAAAAATTTCATCATTGTACTTTACCCTAATGACCTGATACAACAGATCACACACACAACTACTAATCCTCCCCCAAAAGTAGATTTTACATTTCACACACAATTTATTCTCATTTAAGTTCTAAATTCACTCCCTCATTTTTCATATTTCTATCATCATAAACCCCAATAAATATTTGTTTTAATTTTTGAGTTGAATGCCAATTTATTTTCCAATTCTTCAACAAAATTTTCTTCCTATAATGCATTCTTAACTTCATATCTTTGAATGCTAACAACTCCTGTACATATGACTGGCAAAAATAATTTAGAGACACCTTTTCATCATTGTTGTTATAAATCGTTCTAGCTTGTTGAATGGGTAAATAGTGCCACAGGACCAAATGTGTCAGTTGAGCATTCGCATCACTGTCTCTCGCAACACTAGATGCCAGCTGGTCCAAAGTGAAGATGGGCACAGGTGGAGGGGTGCGCCTGTCTCTCGTCTGCAAGAGCTTCATATTAATAAGAAGAGTAATAAAAATAAATACTTCTATAATATACATTACAATAATCAGTATAAACCCTGATAATTACCGGTATTGGTAAAACATTAAAAAATATTTTCCATAAATTTGATTAAGATTTCCTGACATTTTCGCCCCCAGGCCCCGATGTGGGTCAGTGACCTGTGCCCGGGTGGGCTAATCCCTGTAAAAAATAATAATAATAAAATGGATAAAAACTTGGGAAAAAAATAAATAACAAAATGGGGGTAATCAGCCTCAGGTACGTAGTCATCTGAGGTCCTCATCAATGACATAGGTGAAGGTTTCTGAGCACAGTAAAACTCCACACAGTGCAGTAGCTGCGTTCTCAGAAAATGCCAGGTCATGCAAAATAGCAACTTCTAAAGAATTAATGTATTCTCTGGGTTTCAGATTGTTCATAAAACTTGTTAAAAGTAACCTTTTGACAAGTGTTTAAGTATAGATATTCCTCACTATATGCAGTCTGTATACTGAATAGACTTTTGTATAGAAGAAATTTTTAAGTAAGTGAACACTTTTCACTATGTGCTACATATATTCATTAATACATAATTTCTCCTGTCATGCAAATTTTAAACAGGTGTACCCAAACAATTTTGGACCACACCACTCTACTACAACCTATGCAGTTGCAATACATTTATCCATCAAGTTAAATGAGACTAGTGAGGTGGATATGCAATGTGGCACTGAAAGACAAAAAATCCTTTTCAGAGGTAAGAGGGTGGCTGGTATTGAGTTCTATTGGCAAAATTCTGTGTAGCAGTATGCTGAGATGGTTTGGAATTTTGGAGAATGAATCACACTAATTAGGTCAAGAGGTGTATGAGTCTAAATGTGGGGGGAGAAGAGCCAAGAATGACATGGGGAGAGGTTGTAAGAAATGACATTAAGAGTTAAGAACCTGACAAGAGGGAATGCAAAAGACTGTAGAATGGAAAGTTGCCATCAGATAATCACGGCTAATCCACACAAGCGTGGAAAATGGTTATAAAACACTTTGCCCAACCCGGTCTTCAAACAATTGTCTTTCCCTCATAAAAAAACACCACACTCCTCCACCAGTCTTACCACAACTGCCACACAATAAATTTACTGTTATTTTTACATTAATTTACACCTAATTTAGAGATATAGAAAAGAAAGGTATCGACAGCAGTGACAATAACAATGACGACTGACCATCAGAACTCCCCAATGCTAATGGTAGAGATAACAATGAGGGACATGAGCAATGAGGAGTTTGGAGGCTTATCAACAACATGCTTTTACACCAGATTTGAGGCTATAATTGAGTCTCTTTCTGAAATTGTTGGAACAAAGCCAGCAATAAGAAATTACTCTATTTAGCTATGAAATATTATGCTTTAATAATTGCTGTATCACCTTAATATAAATGACACAAAATTATTGTAAGGATTAAGGCGCAAAATCTATTTATACTTTGCATAATTTGAACACTGAAGTGAAGGAGTTAATAATACAATTAAGTACTACAAGCACCCATTCACAATTCCATCAACATAATACTTTATTACATCACAACTACAAATGGCAAGTACAATTCAACATACCAAACATCTGACAGCGGTAAATCTTCATCCTCCATTGAATCCACTTCCTGTAATAGCAAGAGAATATTAGAAGCATACTCAACTCAACACTTAATGTTGTCTGGATGTTATTTATGGAAATTTTTGAGCTAGAAAGCTTAAATTTGGACACATTACTGACCAAGTGCTTTGACAATACATTTTTCACTTCATATTAATATACACTCCCTCCCAGTGCCTCTTCAGGTGATGCAGGAAGAATGGGCTGTACAATGAACATACTGTACATCACTACTTGCTTTGCTATTGTTTTTTGTTGAACACATTTTCTTATATTTTTAATTTTATATTTTGCAATATTGATGGAAGTGTAAAATATTTAATTTTTGGTGAACATAACACACATTGAACTGCATGTATGAACTAGCCAATTTGTAAAGTATTGATTGATAAACGATAAAGGTTTTACTGTATTAACCCCTTCATTGTCTCTTAAATATTTCATTTGGCTAATGCCAGATGATTCTATTCAGCACAAGAGGAAGTGAAGGGGATAAAGGGGAAAGAGAAGGCAAAGTTATGAAATAAAATGGTGGTCTGGAGGCCTTGGAAATAAAAGGAATAACCAATGCCTTTTGTAATCAGTAAATATTCTACAGTATGTATAGCATGACTCAAGTCTAGTTAACACAGAAAAAAGAGCAACACAATTACCCTAAAAGAAATTTATTTCCATATCACATACAAAAAATATCAAAAAAATAATCTAATATGAATTGCAATAAATAACTTACCTGGTAAATACTCTCATCGTGGTTTCTTTGGGCACATTGGTGTCTCCAGGGGCTCCAAAATATAAATCCCAGCAAATATAGTGAAAACATACTGGTCTTTAAGTATGTACTGAAAAAAGGTTTATTGAAGCCGGTATCATTGAAGATATACTGAAAATAAAATTTGAAAAATATAAAAAAGTCTATTATTTTTCATCCCTTATACCATATATTTATTTTCTCTTAACGTTACATACAGCGTATACTAAAAAGAAAGTGTTTCAGGCTCAAGAGAAACAGATACATTAATTACTTGTGCATAAGATGTGTTCTCCTACAGTACTTCCCTTCCACAACACAATCTAAAGATTTCCATCTGCTTTACCCACATTACTTTAGTAAACCTAATACCACCCCTCAGTGGCAGGTCCATCCCCATAAACTACTCAACACCACGATCTCTGCTTCTTCCCTGTTGTCTATTCCCGTTTTATCCATTAAATACACCAGCCCAGTCTTTCATCTCCTTTTTGGTCTTCCACTTTCTCTCCTACCATTTACTTCTTTTTTTTTAATCCTTGTTCCCCCGTCTTCTCAACCTGTCCACACCATCTCAAGAAACCTGGTTAGTCTCCTTTTATTTGCACATCTTATTTCTAAATTTAGTATTCCTTGTATCCTTTTTTCCAGACATTCTGCTCTCAAAGTCACTGTGGTTAGTAAAATTCTAATGGTCAGAATGTGGTAGGGAACAGACTTCATTCTCTCTCTTAATCTTTTCAACAGGTTCCTCCATGACCTCTTCCACCCCTACTCAATCTCTCCGTTACTTCCAGTCTCTCTTCAACAAACATTTAGAAAACAGTTGTGCGGTTTTTCATATTCAAGGCTGTTGAGATGTATGGTACTCAGTGTCTTCAATATAGATACTGTAATGCAAGCATGAGCTTTTCAGGCAACTCTGAATGTAGAAATGAACTGATACAGCAAGTAAACTCTGTAACTTACTATATTTTTCTCATGTTATATCACAGACAAAAACTGAACATGACGTAAGAAAATAATACCTCCGACAATTCTGATGAAGCCACCCAAATGACGTCGACCACCAGCAGGACAAAGATGCCAAGGGCCAGACGCCTCCCTCGACCCATCATAGACCATCACTGTTAATCATGTTAGTTGTTAGACAGTGCAGTAATAAACACTAAAGGCACATAGGTTACAGTACATGGCCATGTCCATTAAAAAAATAATAAATAAATAAATAAATAGATAGATACTGTACAGTACTGTAAAACGACCAAATATCTATTAATATCCACCATTGAACTACCGTACATCTCAAATCCGGTCTGATTGGTTCCTGAGCAGTGCCAGATTAGTGATTTTGCCAAACCACAGGTGATTAGGTTAGGATTAAATAAATAAACACCTCTAACCCACTTCATAACTACCTCACCCTACCTTTAAAATACTCTGTAAATAGTACAAGTTGGGTAATGAAAAGAAACAACAAATGAAAAGCAAGTGAAATTTATTGAAGTATGTATACTGTATATACAGGCAAAATACCTTACTAGGTGTTACTGCCACAGTAAGATGAGAGAGAGAGAGAGAGAGAGAGAGAGAGAGAGAACACCTTTCGTTCAACTAACATATACAGTGATCCCTCGGTTAACGAATTACCTTCCATAAGATTCTTCACTTCGGCTAACGAGCAAACCCCCAGTCAACGAATTCCTTATGAATTTTCCCAACATGTTTTCGCCTGCATTTGGCTGCCCACCAGCTGTAGTATTAGTCCGCCAATACAGTAATCGGTTCTAGGGCTTAAATTCCTTACCATTTTAGTAAATATCAAGAAGGTTGTACTATTCAATAATTTTAAAAGTTTTATATTAAAATTTTTAGTAATTTTAACAATTATTGAATATAATTGAAGTACAGGAAACTAATTTTTTGCACGCCAAACAGCCACTCAACACACAGAGCTTGGCGTCAGTTTGTTTACCAGTTCAGAGGAAGGAACATCTTGTTTGAGACTCTTCAACATAAAGGCTTTTTTTCTGCGTTTCCAGTCAAATTATTGGTCATTTTGAAATAGATTTTACATATTGATAATATATCGTGCAGTGCAGTGTTGATTTAAAGAAAATAATCTTGAATTATACCAAGTGAACTAAAATTTTATGGGTGAAATGGCAGCATGGGGTGGCTTCTCTTCCACCCCAATGCCTTCTCTTCCACCCCAATGCCTTCTCTTCTCCCTTCTCCTCCACCCCCATTCTAATTCCCATCATCATCATCATCAACCAGGAGCCTTCTACATGCACACCTCAAAGTAAGTGTACTTTACTGCATTTATTTTTAGTTTGCATGTAATTTTCGGTGAGCTGGAACCAATTACACAAAAACCCAATGAAACAATGGTTTCAGATAACGAGCAACCTTCTGGAATGAATTG